TCATATGTGTAGTATATTCTGCACACATACATACGGAAAAACATAAGCTGGCGTAATACAAGCCATACATCGAAATAAGTATTTTCAGTTGTATTTAACCGCGTTAGTGAATCTGGAAGCACTTGTATCGAGATCGAATCCCTGCCACTATTTGTAATTGCATGTATCATTCACTGCGTAGCATATACGCCTCCATCGCATATACATTTTATTTTCGTTGCTTTCTTCTAAATCAGCCATCCGCACGCTCTCTAATGTAGGCTTGACGAGGTCGAAGCTGCGATTAAATCTAGCTCAGCAGCCGATCAAGAGAGACAGCGGAATGTGTACGGGGAGAAACAAGTATGTTTTGTCTAACGTTTGTACCGTACATAGTACACTTGTACAACCATAATCATTAAGAACTATCTTTTGAAACATGTATCAGTTTGTACCGCACATAGTACACATGAATATCCACAATTAATACGAACTATCTTTTGAAAACTTTATCATCATATTAAGAAATGATCTGTGATAGTTGGCATAGTATATACGTTGAGTATTCCGTATCATCAATGTTGTGGTTGAAAGCGGGCGTCGTCTATCCCCTACGAGTGATTGCATTTGCCGCCTTATTTTACCTGTGTACTACTACATGAATTTGATAAAAAGTTAAAACGGTTTTGGTTAACTCTCCACAGTGATTAAGTGATCATATTCATCATGCACGAGTGTAAGGTATATTGAGTATGGTCTCCAGTTTTGATGCCGTACAACACACACACATGCACATTGAAACGCACAGCCAAGTGCGTATCAACTTGCGCACACAGACAATCCCTCACAGACATGTATTCATCCGAAAATATTAGATTTTTTTCTGACGCAACCTGACTTGCCCTTGTATTTTATAGGCGAATTTCTTACGATTAAAGCGGACCAGACTGGGGTTACAGGACTTTGATACGCTCAAAGTGATTGGACGAGGTGCTTTCGGGGAGGTATATAGTTCGTCTCTGATTGGGGGATACCCTGGTTTATATAATTAGATTTGTCGTATGAGTTTAGCAAATTGGTTTTCTTATTGTTATTCCGTACGTGTATCCTAGCCATGCATATATCCTGTATGTCTAGCTACAGTTATACACCTATACGTTTGCTGTTGTTCTATTCCGTTTATGGGCATGCCTCAACCGTTCTATCCGTGTTTGACTATGCTACACACATAGGTACGGATGGTACAGAAGGTGGACACAGGGAACATCTACGCCATGAAACTGCTACGCAAAGTGGATATGTTGCAGAAGGAACAGGCCGCCCATGTGCGTGCGGAGAGAGACATCTTGGCGGAAGCGGATAACCCGTGGATTGTGCATTTGTACTACTCGTTTCAAGGTGGGTATGCGTATGCATGCAGTGCAGGCGCATCTCGACATAATCGTGAACCGCTGCATTGTACTTTGGGAGTGGGTCGGGGTAGTCCTGGAGAAGAGGCTTTTTCATCATCTATGCTGACTACTGTGGGGGGGGCAAGGTCTCCTTCATTCCTTGTTACATAATTTGGATGTATAAATAGTGCTGTTGATAGAATAGATAACGGAGTCGTGCTTACGACCACACACCCGTCTCTATACACGTTGTGCAGTCACATTCTTGTATACACATCTATCTGTTCATATACACAAACGCAATACTCTCCCTCTTTGCGCTCAGACGCGGCTAATTTGTACCTGATTATGGAGTTCTTGCCCGGTGGTGACATGATGACCCTACTGATACGCTACGATACGTTTTCGGTCGATGCCACTCGTAAATTCATGGCTGAGATGATCCTGGCCTTGGAATCCATTCACGAACTAGGATTCATACACAGGTTGGTTTGGGACACGTGTGAATGATATCGAACTTGGGATATTGTGTGCCATCCTATATATATCTATATCTATATCTATATCTATATCTATATCTATATCTATACCTATATCTATATCTACATCTATATCTATCTATCTATCTATATCTATATCTATATCTATATCTATATCTATATCTATATCTATATCTATATCTATATCTATATCTATATCTATATCTATATCTATATCTATATCTATATCTATATCAATATCTATATCTATATCTATATCTATATCTATATCTACATCTATATCTATATCTATATCTATATCTATATCTATATCTATATCTATATCTATATCTATAT